ATACTGTTGATGTGTTGTGAGATTGTTAACCATTGTCATAGGGCAACATTTGTAGTAACTGTTAAATGAGAAACTATTTTGTTCTGTAAGCCTTTATCTTAAGTGAGAATAACAGCACAATTCGAAGAGCGTAGTCAATGTCACTGAACTGTGCATGTAGACATTTTTGAGAAATGGTGTATCTTTGGCTATGTGTATTTCCACCAAAAAAACAAAGGTTGAGAAGTTAGAGGGTTGATATGTTGTGGGATTGTTAACCAATGTCATAAAACAACATGTGTACTTCTGGTTTCATGAGAAACTATTTGTTCTGTAAGCCTTCACCTGAAGTACAATAAATAAATAAATAAAGTCAAAAAAAAAACTGCACCAACTTGAAATCTGGTATTTTAAATATACTTGTATACTGTTAGCAAACAAAGGAGGTAGGATAAAATAAATAGTTGTTTGATCAAATATCTACATCTGGACTGTAACAGACATTACAGCAAATGAGACAAGGTCGTTGCCCTCAAAGGAGGACAACTCTAAGGACAAACATAAAACTACAAAAACCTAAATCAAAATATAACTATATAATGGTAAAAAGAAAGACAAAAAAAGAGTTAAGCAAGGTATGTTGGGATGCAGTATATGAAATGATATCTGCTAAGCTTGGGAAAGTGTCTGAGTTTGATCTGTACTGAAGGAGGAGGGGCAGAAGTCACTAGATAGCCACTAGGCAAAAATGTCCAGAGCCAAAAGATACTTGTTTGAATCTGAATCAGCACAATAAATAAATAAAGCCTTATTTATTTATTGAGCACAATAAATAAATAAAGCCTTAATTTATTTATTGTGCTGATTCCACTACCAAACAGTACCACCAACCACCACCTAACTCTTCCTTTTGCTTCTAGATCTGTATAACTGATTGAAGTTTCATGCAAACAGGCATAACTCAACAAGTTTCCTAAGAAGGCAAGTCAAGTCTACTTAAGAAATAAATTTTAAACCATCAAGCATTCAAGATGCAAGATAAAATAGTCCATTATTTCTTTAATCATCCAATACTTCACTAATCAACAAACACTGACAGAAATATATTGTGTTCAATAAACAATTCTGAAGAGGTATGATCAGTTCAAAATTTATAAAAATAAATATTCCCCTACACCAAGAGAAAGCATATATAAGCATAAACACATTTCTTTGTTCATTCAAAGGTGGCAGATAGACTGAGCTTGGTCTTTAATTTAGAATTTGATATATCTTTAGATAAAGATTTTCCTCACTAACTCAACTATGATCTCAGTCAATCTCTCTTTTTTCCATTTCTAAACACAATGCTGGTTAACATATGTATTTATTTGTTGAAACATAGGGTCATAGGATAAAATAGGAAAGTTAAGAAAATTCTCCTTTATAGGTCAATGCTATATTTAATTGAGTAAGAAAACAGAACTGCAGAAAAATGAGTTATGAATAGTACTGCAGAACTGAGAACTATCATTCTAATGAACAGAAAACTAACACATACCTTGAAGAAAAGCAACAACAATATTTAAATACTTAAAGATCTACCTTGAGGTGTGCAAACAAACTTATGCTGTAAGGCCTTAAGAGGCTGACATGGGCACGACTAAATATAGGCAGGAGACTAGGTAAAACGCAGATTTCAGCTGTTTCCAAGAATAATTTTTTTTTTTTTTAAAGAAATATAGCTAACCAAATATAGATTTGGTACCTTGTGAGGCATAATGGTTAAGAACACAGACTCTGACTACCACTTATTTAATGAAAGGCCTTGGGCAAGTTACTTAACGGCTCTCAGTGCCTCAAAGCCTCATTGGGTTTATGTGAGAATAAATGAGTTAATACATGTAAAAAGCTTACGGAGTACTTGTGTAAGTGTTAGATAACTGTCAGCTATTTTTGTTATTATCATTATTGCTATTGTTGTTATGGGGCATTTAGTTCCCCATCACAAAAAATGTACAACCAATGACTTCATGACAGTGAGGATTCATTACTGAGCAGTACATAAATTTAAACTAAATGGCTCCTAATGTTTCTTTAAAATCTGAGATTTTAGGATTCTGTAACATTACCAAGACCAGCACTAGACTTCAGGTCTCCATCTGTTGGTCAGTCCAGTAACCCTTTCTCCTAAACTCCCTATAACTTAACCTTTCCTCACAATGATACCACAGAAGTAAACCTTTTCTCGACTATTTAAAAACAGAAAATTGAGGGTTTCTCTTTTTAAATCACATTTAGGTCTGATTAAGAACATTAGTACTGGACAAGATTTGTATCTTTATGTTTTGTGACTGACTATGGAGGAAAACATACCTGCAGTGTCACTGGTTGTGATATCAACTCCATGTAGAAGGATGGCATTCAAACACTCAAGATTCCCCTTTGAGGCCACAACGTGGAAGCTAAACAAAAAGAAAAATGTTTGCTGTCATGGAAACTATCAAAGGTCCACTTAAATGCCACATTAACGTTACCCTTTAAACAACATACACGCATGCACACACGCACATACGTTTTAGAGGGTACATTAGAACATCTAGATATTTAATACCAGCAAAAATAAACCTATTCCATATTATCTAAAACTCCCTTTAATCCAAATTTATATAAGAGGCCACTACTTTCTAGAAACACCTCCTTAGAACCAAGGAAATATGCTAATGTTCAATAGCCTTAATAATAATAGATAGTTTATACTATAATATTGTTAACAATTTCAATAACAAAAACGCTGGTGTTTGGGGCTTTAAAAATGCTCTGAAGACTATCTATCAGACTATTGTGCTTAGTTTCAAATATACTCAAATTGCCAAAACAAATGAAGTTACAGCAGAATGTTGAAGCCACAGAAAGATCAAAACACTTATCCCTTCTCTTTAAAACTATCGAGCTAAAACTGATAAGGAAAAGCCTTCAAAACAAGCAAGCTCAGCTACACTTGAAAGCCATAAAAGAACTGGCGCCTTCTGCCCAAACAGTACTAACTGCCACCTAATTCTTCCTTTTGCTTACAGACCTGTATAATTGAAGTTTCATGTAAACAGGCATAATTGAACGAGTGTCCTAATAAGGCAAGGCAAGCCTACTTAAGAAACTCACTTTAAACCATCAAGCATTCAAGATGCAAGATAAAATATTCCATTATTTCTTTCATCATCCATCACTTTATTAATCAACAAACATTTACAGAAATATACTGTGTGCAATAAGAACTGACACTGGCTAGTACTCCACCAAATGCAAGCTGGTAAATTCAGGAGGATTTGTTGGCAAAGGATGTTGAACTGGTGTTCAAATAGAACCATGCCCCTAAAAAAGTACATTGACTGCTCTGAAGATGCGAGAAGCTAAAGGGTTTGAAAGTGCTCCACAAGGTGCCTGGATCCAGAGACACTCTGCATCACACTCTCAGTGGGGGCTTCCCTAGCCACATCAATTAAAAAGTATGTATCATCCCACTCCCTGAAATTTTAGTACCCCCCAGTTCCCCATCCCTGTCTTTATTATTCTATCTGAAACTTAACATTTTCAAATATACAGTTTCATTCTTTATTTTCTTGATAGTCTATCAATCTCTTCCCACTATACTAGAAACTCAGTGAAAGCAGGAATTTTTGCCTGTTTTGTTTCTTATTCAATCCCCAGTACCGATAACAGTGCCAGATAGATGATGGGGCCCCAAATATTTGAACAAATGAATGCTTGCAGACGAAATCTGAAGATAGCTTGCAAATTCATTTCTATACAGCACAACACTCAGTCATGTAACTTTGTTAGTATTATGACAGATGAAATGAAAGCTAGAGACCAAGCACTACTAGGAAACGTCAGTTTGTGTTAAGTTTGATTTAGAGAAACAGAAATATTTCTAGTAAAAGGAGTATAGTGTTCTTAAGAGTCAGATAAGTTCTCATTATAGTAGAACAATTAAATTGCTATATGGCTGGGGGTATCATTTAATGTCTCTGCAACAGTGAAGTAGGGAATTATGCTGTGCAAAGCACCATTAGAACTTTTTGAGGAATGCTAAATTCCTTCAAGCAAAGATACTTAGTCTCCCAACAATCTGGAAGATACCATTTTTTTGTTTTTATTTTTTGGCTCATAAAATATGGAAGATCTTTCTTCAAAAACTAAACCCACATTATAGTGATGATGTACTAAGGGCAGAAATCACGACAAATCTACATGCATTATTAATGCTGGTGTGCTATAAATAGTACATACGCTTCAGAAAGAAGATATATCAATCATTAAAATGTATGAGGAGAAAGATAAAGGATACCTGAAAACTGCTTGATAGAAAACACTTTTGCAATAAAAAAATCAGCATAATATAGCCAACTGTAAGACTTCAAAAATACTGGGCTCCCCCCCCCGCCTCTTTTAAAGCAACACATGAAGTTCTGGTTCCCTAGTGGAAGGTCCAGGTGATCTAGACAAAACCTTACCTCCAAAGACTAGAAAAGCTGCACAAAATATAAACATCTGCTTGAAGGCCCAGTGAGCTAACAAAATAGTACAAAATTCCTAGGCCAGGATGCAGTGAAGCAGAGGCCCAGGGAGGGGAGGCTGGTATTGGAGGCCATTCTCTCTGGGTCTCAGCATTCACTGACTTCCCGCAAGAAGAGCTGGGAGGCTGAACAGCACTTCCAACAGCCTTGAGGGGTAGAGAGATAGGAACTAGAGTCCAGGGCTCTCCAAGTGGCAGCGGAAACCTTGGTGAACTTGCCCCATTTGGGGTTGGGGCCCTAAAGGGCTGCACCCTAGGAGACAGGTGAAGAAAATAGGCTCTTGTAGTCACTACAGCGAGGCTTCAAATATTTCTACTCTTAAAACTGCACTGAGGTCAAGAGGCACAAGCTATTTCTGACTTAAGTTGCAAAATTAATCCCCCCTCCCAAAAAAATTCTAAATAAAATGGTTTTGTAATTACATATAATATAGAAAATATATTTAAGCTTGTCCTTTATACAAAATGCTTTAACTAACAAAGAATACAGTTTGCATGGGAGGGTTAAAAAAAAAAAAAAAGAAAATGAATCCCAGGAAATAATTTTACTTCCTACAATGAAAACCTCAAAAACTAACAATACTAAAATATTGTTCCTAAACTAAAGTTCAAAGTTCATAACATTACACCAAATTTTTATAACTCTGACCATCAATATAAATAATCTCACTCAAAACTGAACCTTAGGTCAAAAAATCTGAGCACCCATTCATTCAAAACATCCAAACTAGGGATCAGCAAAATTGGAAAAAAATAAGGTTTCACTGAAGAGTTTCATCCCAAACAACATTCCTCTTTTAACATCCTAGGTTTTGGAGGGGAAAAAAAAACACTAAAGAGAAGTCACTGATAGATATTAAATTTTCACTCTTTATACTCCGAGCCCTATAAATAGCTTAAAATTTAGTAAAAACAGGAGACAGGAGTCAAAAGTGTTTTGGTAGGTATCCAATTGCCTACTTGATAAAAGTGTAACACTATAAATTGAAACATTTCAAACTTTATTGCTCCCAAAAAACTACTTAATTTATAGCCATGCTTTGGCTATCTTTCTAGCATTCCAAGGTAGTGACCACATCAAACATTAACTGTTCATTTTCTAATATTCATTTCTATACTTAGTAATCTGGTTTCCAGTTACAATATTCTAAATAAACTCATGTAAGTATAAAACTGAGAGGAATTTTAGGAAATGAGACTTTCCACCTCTTATCTAGCTTTGGAAAGTTTCTCATATAAGATTTTTAACTGATACAGTTATAAAGGGTCTACCCGTTAACCCAAGTGTTCTCTATCCTCAACAGCAATGGAAGTGATGAAGATATGGTGGGGTGGGAAAGAAGATACATGGTTCACAAGTACATATACAAGCCAGGAGCCTTCCTAAGTAACTTAAAAACAAAAGGCTGGGATCTCCCAAAGCCACACTAGTTACTCTGGCTCCCCTTCTGCTCTCATTTAAACTCAATTACCCAAGTATAAAAATGGGGTGGGTGGCAAAGACAGTGTAATTTACACACCTCAGAGACAGAAAGCTTGGGTTCACATCCCAGCTCGGTGACTTTTCATGAAATTAGACCAAATTATTTAACCTCTCTAACCTTTTTCCTACTTCTTTTATGGGGCTACTGTGAGAATCATACCTGATAAGAAATATGAAAAAGCTTTATAAATGCACCAAAGGCTGTTGTTGGCCATGGGGCTTAAACAACTAGACTAGGTAGTCCTCTAGTATTCTTTCTCTAAACTGGAAATCTTCCAAACTGACAATTATTAGTCCGTGATGGTTAAAAGAGATTTCTGAAAGATTTTATAATGCTGACTGTGGTAAAGACTTTTTTAATAAAAAAGTTGATAACCACAATTGATAAATTTCATTTATATCCCAAGGGTCTACCCAAATTCCCTTCAGATATGCTTTTATCATTGGTCATACTTACGCAGACCTGCCTTCCACATCTAGTTTGCCTGGATTGACTCCCTTCTTAGCAAGGATCGAGGACACTTTTTCTACATCCCCCCTTTCTGCTGCTTTCATCAATCGGTCATCATATTTATTCCAATCTGCTACATGCTGCAAAAAGGAAAAAAGGAAACATGGCAAACTACATTAGTAAGACCTGAAAAGAGAAGGGAAAGCAGTACTACGTAACATAGCACTTATTTTCCAATTGTATGCTAAATTTCCTTCTCCCGGTTGTGCTAGCTTTACTGGAATGGCAGAGTTATAAAACCTTTCCAAAACACATGTATTAAAAAGAAACATTTTTAATCCTACTTTTGAGCAAAATCATTTTTCTCATGTTCTCTGCCCACATAGATTGAGAACTACAAATAACTCATTTACACTTACATTCAATAGATTTCAGGGCAAAGAAAGGAAATTAATAATTGCTGAGCATCTACCTTGGGTATGGCATGACTTACTCGAACAGCCCTAGAAAACTAAAATTATCATCCCCATTTAACAGATGACAAAAATCAAGGTTCTACGGACATGAAATGTCTTAAGTGGCCAAGCCCAACTATTACTTCTCTAGTTTCCAAATCAGTGTGTTTTTCACATTGCCTAACCCATGTTCTTGGGATTGGCTCTGATTACATCTCCCCAGACACTTACATGCAGTGGAATTCTCTATACATTTTAAGAATGCCTCCCTTTTTTACTTAAAAGGTATTGATAGAAATATACTTGTGGAGGCAAATTAATTTTATTTTTGTCTCTCTACATATAAGATCAATAGAGAAATAAACTTGTTATGCTTACATATATTATGCTTACATACTAGGATAAAAAGAAACAACTATATAGAAAAAATCTAAAGACTCTATTAATAAGATTACAGGTGACTCATTTTCTTCTTTCAATTCTCTACCTTCATCATGTACTGCTTTTATAAAAAAAGATATTCAATTTTAACACTCACTGCACATATATTTTAGAAGACCAAAAATTGTTTTTTTTAAAATAGGAGAATGTATCACGTAATACATATTTTAATTGTATCAAAGTACTCTTTAGCTTTGATTGGAGAAAATATATTCAAGACATTCTCAAGACAATAACTCTGATCTTTTCTTAGTAAGCAGAAATGTCAGAACAGAGAACTAAAATACATGGTATTTTTAACAGGCAAAGTTTTTTTTTTGCCTTTTAAAATATTATACAAACTTACTGCTAAACTCTGGGCTAAAGCCAGTATTATTTCTAGAACAAAAAAAGATCTACATATTTTTCACTTAGCTTACAAAGCAAATCCTATGTCCACGGATACCGTAACAAATCTCTGGGGGGGGGAAAAAAGCATCTCTTATGTGAGCATATTGTGTAATTGCTTGATACGTGATTATTTTATATTTACTATCTTCTCCAAGCAAGTCATCACCACCATTTTTCTTGGTAAATAAGCAATGCACTCACTAAATACTTGAAGTGAAAAATTAATATGAAAATCAAATATGAAAAAGATAATACATTAAAAATTTAACTCCTAAAATTTACTATTTTAATGAAGTCTATTTCAAGTACATACATAGACTTCTGAACTGTCTCTGAATTAATCAAATTTGGGGATGAACCCACTTCCTCCTAACTTTAAAAGTTCAAACTGAGACTATGCATAGAGAGTAGCCCTTCTTACTGGCTCAAAGTTAAATGATATTTTAGACATTGCCTTTCTTAGCGTTAAAACAGCCCAGTTTAGTGGCTCTGAACTGGGGAGGGGTAGTGGATGTGGACTTAAGAGGCATTGTGTTTTCAAATGCCTAAGGGATTAAGTCATGTTTAGCACACAAATACTTGCCCTCAATTGATTAGTTTATCCCTGCAATTAAAACAGTCTTAACTTTATTACTAAGTAAACTTGCTAGCAGAGAAAGGTGCAATTTAATGCACTAAAAAAAAGTTATAAAATCCAAAATTACGGTTTTTTAAAAGATAATTAAACATGATTAAAGTCTCATATTATCATACGATCTTCAGTTCTACTCCACCAAGCACCAGTTTCCGTTCTAGTGCGATGTCAGTTAACAGTAATACTGCCCAATTACTAAGATTCTATTATGTGCTTTTTAAACCCACAGAAAGAAACACGAACTTTCGTTTTCTATCACTAACCACAATCCGCTAATCAACTAAATCAGAAAGAAAATAATAAAACAAACCAAAATTTATAAAATAAAAAGTAGTACATTTTAAAAGAACACAGTTGAAAAAGTCTAGCTGAGAATTGTTTGTCACACTACAGGGATACCTACTCTGTTTTTAGGAGCACAAGAAAACCAACACTTCATCATAGACAGGATTTAGTTTCTTATTGCTAATAGCAAACCACTTCGCATTAAGTTACAAATCTCTGCAGTTTACAAAGCGGGCCCTCAGACAAACTCCCAACAACTGACTCAGTTCTTCTCACTACCACTTCTCCTGTTCTACAATCCTCATGCTGTGCTACACTTAGCTTGGATCTGTAACGACATTGTCTTCGTCTTCGGGATCCTTCTCCGCCTTCATAACGCTCAGAAATTCTCTTCGTTGCTGCGCAGCACTCGATTAAAAGCAGCCCCGAGTCAGGTATTGTAACTCCTCCTATTTCTTATTCTTCAGAAGCTGTCTTTCAAGGCCGTCCCTTTCAGGGACTCCACCGGAAAATGTGAACAGCACTCTGCATCCTGCTGCCTCAACACTGCAGCACAGAGGCTGCTGTGCATGATAAAGCTGCCCACTGTCCTGCTCATCCCGTAAACAGTGTGCGGACGGCCTCCCATTGGTCGGTTCTATTTTAGATTCCATAGGACTTGACAGCTGAGTGATAGAAAGGCACAGCTAAGAATATATTGTAATGGCATGCTTTCCCTCTGAGTAATCAATTTCAGGTCTACTGGGGACAAGTGACTCAACCATATTGTAAAACATGCTTATATAAAAACAATTCATCTGACACAATGACAATACTGTAAGAGACAAACTTGTTATTCCATAAAACGTATTTAAAGCCAGTTTCGGTCTTAGTATCATCTATCATGAAGTTGTAATAGCCTTGACAAACAACATAAAATTCTATTTTAAACAAATGTGTCACCCTTTAATTTAAGGAAACACACATACACAGCTACACTTGCGAATTTTCTCCACTGTCTCTCGTACTCCTATCAGTCTCATTCTGCATACAACCACGTTTCAGCTTACAACTGCTGCCAGTCTGTCTCCTAAAATGTTAAATGAGAAGAGCCAGAGGCACTGCCAAGACATTAAATAGACTACATCATGATGAATACGTTTCAACAAATTTTAAATTTAACTCTGTACTCTTAATTTCTAAGTTTAGCACTCTGTCTGATATGACAAGTAATCAGTGGAAAGTCAAATTATCTGAAGTCAGTGGATAAAAAAGCAAATAAGCTGACTAAATACTAAAGGAGAAAAATAGGTATTAAACACTGAGCTAGACAGTAAATAAAACTCTATTTAGGGACAAAGCAGACAGCTTCTCCACGTTGTCTGCGATAGTTAACATACTTGTATCAACATTCCTTACATTATCAAGGATCGTAACAAACATCCACAGGCTCCAGGGTGTTTTTTGCCATGCTCTGGTTACCACAGAGCCCTGGCAGCAGAGTAGTTAAACGCTCAGCTGCTAACTGAAAGGCTGGCAGTTCAAAACCAACAGAATTGGCAGTCTGCTTCCGTAAAGATGACAGCCTTGGAAACCCTATGAGGCAGTTCTACTCTGAGAGTGACTTATACTTCCTCCAAGAAGACAAATTTAGGAAAATTGTTTCATGGGAATGCAAAACATTCCAATATGAGTGCTTATAGGAAGGAGGTAACTGCTATACTATAGATCATGCTGCTTGTTAAAAATTCTATTATGAACTTCAATAAGAAATCCATTTCCTACTATCCGAATTTAAAATATCAAGTCTATATTACATATATATATATATAAAGGCATATACTACAATGTACTGTGTTTGAAACAATGATCCCCCCTACCCCCGCCCAACCACATTAGATATCACAATGGATGCATGTGGCAGGACCCAGAGACTCCACCCAGTCTATTTCACTGTTCTTCAGTGGAAATCTGGGATAGAACTCAGGCTCTATCCTTTGGTTAACAATGCAAACACATTCTTTCTGGAAATAGGACAGCAAAGCAGAATAAAACAAGTAATGAACAGCCAAAGAAGTAGCTGTCCATGCGAAGGCTCAGGGCATGGGGTCCTGAGCTGCCCACCTCCCCAGCCTCAGCAACTTAATCTCCTGCTTCTACTCTCAGGCCTGTCTCCCAAAAGCCCCAAATTCCCACCTTTGTCATTTCCTGTGCCTGTCATGTTCTTCCCTCACCTTCATTCAGGCTCTTCCAAATGTCACTTCCTCAGAGAGGTGTCCTCAGACCACTACATATGAACAGCCCCGACCCCACTCTATTCCCCTCAGTCTTTATCCCCATATCCTGTTTATTGTTCTTCACAGTGCTTAGCAGTATCTGCCATTATAGCATATGTCTGCCTGTTTATTAGCTTACTGTCTGTCTCCTCAGCACCCTTTGAGACTGACTAGATATCTAAGGTTTCTTCTATGAAACTTATTTTTAAATAAGTAATTTGGTAATGACTGGATTTTTATAAATGTTAAGGGCTATAATCCAAATCAGCTTTTGGAATACTCCATTCTCTTAGACTAGGTTGTTAACTAGGTCATATCTGGAACACACATTTACTAGCAACATTGCTTCCCTGTTAACTACCCTCATTCAGACAACAAGCATCTATTGACCCCAGGTGCTGGGAGAGCCCATGAGTGGCAGGAAGGGAGGTAGGCATTTGAGTGCAACTGATAAATAGAACCCACTCCTTATAATGAATACAAAGACTATCCTTTTAAAATATATAGATTTTTTTTTAGTGGTGAGCATACATAACAAAAAAATCACTATTTCAACATTTTTTATATGTACAATTCAGTAACATTAATTACTTTAATCATGTTGTGCAACCATAATAAAATATCCTTCTTGACACTTAACTCCTATATATGCACACCTCAAAGTCTTCCTTCACTGCTCTACAAATCCCACTGGATCCCCTGAAAGCATTATAAATAGTTGTTAAAGAAAATTTGTTTTGGAATCAGACAAACCTGGGCTCTAATTCCACCTCTGCCACCTACCTATTGAGTACTAGTGGGAGAATTTACTAATACTTTTAAGCCTCAGTTCCCTCATCCATAAAGCAAGGATGATAATAGAGAACCTAATTGTGTAAAATCAAATAGCTAACACATGTGAAGGTCTCAGTACTATGTCTAACAGACATTAAGCGTCCAAAATGGTCGACATGGTGATAGTCACAAGTGCTCCTGGTCACAGATACTAATCAGAAGAAAATTCTTGGAAAAATAAAGAAGTGAAAAAAATGCAAGCATTTATCCTTCCTTTCCTGTGTTAACCCTATGAGTTGGAAGCGTCTCAACGGCAATGGGTTTGGGTTAGGGTAACCAAATAGGTAAATGAGGAAAAGTGTCTCTTTATAAAGTATTCTAGCTAATAAAGAAAGAGTGATAGAATTTTGCCATTTTGCAACCCCTAATAGGAGGCCTAGTGACACAAATGGTTAAGAGCTTGGCTGCTAACCAAAAGGTTGGCAGTTAGAATCTACCCAGTGGCTCCGTGGGAGAAAGACCTGGGGATCTGCTTCTGTAAAGACTGTTGTTGCTGTCATGTGCAGTCAAGTCTACTTGACTCATAGCAACTCTACAGGACATAGTAAAACTGCCCCATAGGATTTTCTAGACTAATCTTTACAGGAGCAGATCTCCATGTCTTTTCTCCCACGGAGCCACTAGGTGGATTCGAACTGTCGACCTTTCAGTCAGCAGCGCTCAGCACTTAACTACTGCACCACCAGGCGCCTTCTATAAAGATTACAGCCTAAGAAACCTCATGAGGCAGTTCTACACTGTCACATGGGGTCACTATGAGACTAAATCAACTCGACGGCATCCAACAATAACAATTAATGGATCTAACCAATGATGATCAGTGACTACTAACATCACAAAAAGACAGCCAAACATTACGCACCTCCTGTTGGTCATATACGTCACCACCTATCAAGTAGCGTAAGCAAAAACTTAAAACTAAAAATCTAACCAAGCCTCTGGAGCTAAATAACAATTTACAAGAAATGCAGGGGGCATTTCACAAGTATGCAATTAACAAAATCCAGCATGAAGGAAACTCTATGGGTTTCTTCAACAAAAAATGGCAAGAAAATGAGATGGACAGTGAATCATAGACTAAAAGTGACTTCAGAAATATATTAACCAATCACACTGTACGGAACTTTAGGACCCTGTTTAAACAAACTTTTTTTTTTTAATAAAACAATTGGGGGAAATGTGAATATTGACTGGATATATGATGATATTAAGGAATTACTTTAAGTTGAGGCTTTCAGTGTGATAATAGTACTTTGGTGCCCTGGTGGCACAGAAGTTAAGCATTTGGCTGCTAGCCAAAAGGTCAGCAGTTCGAATCCACCAGCCACTCCTTGGAAACCCTGTGGGGCAGTTCTACTTGGTCCTATACAGCCACTATGAGTCAGAATCAACTCGACAGCAATGGGTCTGGTTTGGTTTTGTTTGTTTTTTTTTGGAATAGTATTTTTCTTTAAAATAATCCATGTCTTTTAAAGATGCATACTGGAATATTTTAGATGAAATGATGTCTGGTATTTGCTTCAAAAATAATCAAAACAATCAGAGGGGCACAAGTATAGATGAAACAAGATTGGCCATAAGTTGAAAAGCTGAGTTATAGGTACATCAGCGTTCATTATGCTGAACAATTCTCTTAACTTCTGTATATTTCATGTTCTGTTGATATATGGTTCCATAAATCTGGATGATGAGTATTAATTTTTAAACTGCATTACATCCTTTTACATCTGGTGGTTAGAGAGAACAACATTATTTATTCATTTATTTTGGTGTTTTTTTAAACAGACAGCAAGACAGTTTTGTCTTCAACATACTGTTTCTAGAATAAGTCCTGAGGAACTGCCAGACGAATGGACAAATAATTATTTATTCAATAAAAAAACTTATTGAGCATCTATATGCAAAGGGATACAAACATTCAATCACTCAACATTCACATTAAGATCACCTAATATGGATCAGGCCCCATGTGGGTGCTGCATACACTATGGGAAACAAAACAGACATGATTCCTGGCCTTGGGCAGTTCACAGGGATAAAACCTAGTCATTTTCTTCAACTTATCTCACATCATAATAAGCAAGACAGATATGTATGCATACATGTACATAACAATCAAAATACATTGGAATAATGCCACAATTGCTACCTATAATGTACAGAAGTAGTTCAAAAAAGGAGGAAAATTGGGAAAAGTTTTATAGAGAAGATACCCAAGTCATCTAATAAAAGATGAGTAGAAAATCACCAGGTTTGAAAGAGCATCACAAAACAGGAAAATACAAACACAACTTGTAGCCCTTCTGGTTTACAAAGCGCTTCATATTCAAGATACATCAGTTAAAATCTGTACACGAATGACTCACAAACACATCTGCAACCCAAGCTTCTCTAAGCTCTAGGTCCATGTATCCAAATACCTTCCAGGCAAGTCTTCATGTGTGTCTTAAAAGTACCTCAAAATGTCCAAAACCAAAAACATCCTTGTCCTTCTAAAACCTGATCCTATTTTAAGTTTCACCAACACAGCAAATGATAGTTGTGCAAGACAGAAACCTAGAAGTCAGTCATGACACCTTCCTCTCCTTGGTCCCTCATTACCAAATCCTGTTGATTTCACCTCCTCAATATTACTCAAATCCACCCACTCATCTCCACATCCATCACTGTTACGTTCACGTTGCTTCGACTTAAACCACCATCCTTCACCAGGATGACCACATTAATCTTCTAAGTGGTCTGTCCATGTTCACTCTAGCCTCTTCCCTTGTGTTCTTCACACTGGAGCTAGAGTGATAGTTCCAAAATGCAAACCTAATCATACCACCACCACCCCTTTCACATACCCTGTCCCATCTCACTTAAAATACCTTAGTCCTCAAATGACATCAGCAAAAATAACAGATTAAGATACTTCAAATTCCACCGTTTCATGAGGGCAATGAAGAAACGGACAAAGAAAATATCACAACTTTTCTGGAACTCTTAAAATTAACCAAAGGTAACAACCCAGGGAACACCTATTCAAGAAAAACAGCTGATTTTCAGTAAGAATAGTGACTTTGTAATGTTTAAATTTACCCTGGTCCCATTCCCCATTCCCATGCTCAGAGATAGCTATGAAAATAACAGCTCACATTCCCAGTACCATACCAGAGGGAGCAGAACAGACCTCACCCGCAAAGAATTGTAATTAATTATTTGTTCTGACCTATCTGGTGGCTCCCTGGAAGATCAGCTCAAAAGGCCTCTGGTCTTTCTTTCACCAACTCAGAATTGGCCCAGTACTAAAGCTTCTTCCTGGAGGGTATTTGTTGAAAACATTCACAGGCTAAAATCTTAGTTGCTGCAATCTGAGGCAATAGATAACAGTTGGAGCAAGCAAT